ATCAATTTTTTAAATCAGGCCAATCAATTTGCTTTCTATAAATATAATGTATATAATGTGATTGCCTATTTTGGAAATCGCGGCTTGGTCGCGGCTTGGTCTAAAAAGGAAAAAACCTGTTTTTTTCTAAATTATCACATTTTGCTTAATCACGAATTATAATGAATAACGACGATAGTAATACAAATACCGCAGATACTAATACTAGCAAATTTGTGGTTTTTCAATCTCTTACGCCTCGAAATTACTTATTTCAAACACAAAAATCAAAATCTTTACCTAATAGTTCTGATAACCAAAACAAAAAATCACAAAATTTGGTTAAAGATAACTATCCGTATATCTATGTCACAAGAATAGTGAGCCAACGAAAAACCAACTATACCTATAGGATTATTTCACTTGGCTTTTATCCTTTAAATGTTATCAAAACCCTGCGCAATTCAATTAATGGGACAGTTTATCAAATACCGGATGACTATTCATTTATAGTAACAATATATAAAACTCAAATTACATGTAAAACTCAATACCAAAATAACTTAGTAAAATATACAATAAGTTGGATTGATCACAATAGTGAAACACAGCAATGTATTACAAGTTATAGCTCTGCGACCGATGTAAGCAACAAGTTTTTACAGGTAATTATATTAATTATCGTTATATTTTTAATGTATCTAGCGCTAGTAGTAATACGTATACCGGTATTAAATTTTTTATAGAAATTAGGAAAATCTAATAAAAGTTCTATCTCAGGAGTAAAATTATTCGCTTTTGATTTGGAATGTTTAGAAAAACGACGTACTTCTCAAAGTATAGATCAACAAAAACCTTTAGAAAAGCGGCGTAGTTCTCAACAAAAACCTTTAGAAGAACTGTCTTTATCACAAATAAATCGACGACTTAGATCACTTGCCAATGATATTAAAGATAATGTACAATCATTATTTTTAAAACATAATACAACATCCTTGGAATTAGAAAAAGTTGATCTTCGACATAAGAATAATACAATTGAGCTTAATTTTCAATTATTAGTCGATAATTTTACTACAGATGAATACCTTGATTCTATCGTTTATGCTTGTGATGATACATTAGTTTCAAGAGATAGTCTACGACGATTGTCAGCAGTAATACCTGGAATAGATCGCGAATATTTAATAAGCAAACGGCGAACAGAAATTAATAATTTTATGAGCAACAAAGTTCCGATCAATTTATTTACGATAAATAATATTGAAAATGGTGTTTATCGAACAATTAGTTCTATTCTAAATATTTTGATACCCTATTTAGTAACTTCAGAGCCACCAGTTTTAGTTTACAATGATACAATTAAAATCAAGCTCAGTGGTGATGGTCGTCAAGTAGGACGCCAACAAAATCACGTATTACTTACAATGTGCATTCTAAATGAAAAAGAAGCAGTATTGTTTCCGAAGAATCAACATAGGTATATACTATATTAATTTCTTAAATTTGCAGTATTTATACATAGTAATTATAACAATGCTAACATAAAACTAATTATAGTATTTGTCTTTATATTGGAATGGAAAAACGTGAACTACTTGAAATGGCTTTTGGATTATTTATTGAAGAGTTAAAAGATTTATCACAAAATGGATTTTATGATTTAAATGGCAATATGTGGCCTGTAGAATTTTGGTTCTCAAGTGACTGGAAGTTCGCTGCTTTAGTTATGGGTATTAATGCTGCGACTTCCAACTTTTTTTGTCTTTATTGCAACTGTGAACGGAATATACGTTGGGATATGAGTCAGACTTGGATAAACTCAGTTAATACAAAAGGTATGATTTATAAATAAAATGCCAATTTTACTATACTATTCGTCACTGCATTGTCTTCCCAAAATAATACTTTCTTTGATTAAGACCTGGGTATTATTTAGCGCCTACCTGGCTTAATTCTTGAATAATACCCAGGGTATAACTACGTTAGTTTATTATTTTTCATATTATATATCACCGAATATAGTATCCGGTTCTTCACAAAATACCTACGGGTATTATTCAATTTAAAAAGTAAAGTTCTTGATTAAAACCCTAGGTACTATATGCAGTGGCAAATGGCAAATAAATAATCCAACTTTATTATTTACTTATTTTAATTATTTTGATCATAGGACATAAATATTCCAACCTTTTACCCTGTGTTCCATTGGAAAATTTTATTCCAGACGAATTACATTTATTGTTACGAATTGCTGATATCTTATTGGAATGTTTTTTTTATGAGCTTATGAAAAATCCATATTTCAATCGTCTGCCAAATTCTACTAATAATGCTGATAATCTAACTATTCGGCAACGTATTAAGTTATCAATGCAATCAATTAGTATAACCTTTCGATTTTACGATCCTGAAACCTCTAATGCAAAATTTAAATGGACGCCATTGATAGGACCAGCAAAAAAAATCATTTTAGAGAAATTTCCAGTAGCTTCTTTTATTGCTGGACAGCGAGGAAAGGATATTGAGCAATTATGGAGAAGATTTTTAAATCTTTATAATATTATGCGAAATAAAGATCCATCTGATGATATGATTAAATCTTTTGAAATACAAGCGCGGAATTGGGTTAAAGATTTTTGTAGACCTACTCAGAAAACTCACGATGGAAAGATTAAGCAAATGGGACTTTATAATAGAACAGACGTCAGCCCATACATGCATGTTTTTGCGTATCATATTGCTCAATTTATGTACAATTTAAAAAAAAAGGGCTTGTCTTTACGGCTTTTTACTACGTCCAGTTTAGAACGAAAAAATCATGATCAAGTAAGGTCTTTATATTAGTATCACTTGTTCAAAGTATTAATTTATAATTTATATTAATAATTTTAAGGTCCAATTATTTTTTGGAGGAACTACAATGGGCGGCGGACAAAGCAATCTACCCGTTGTTTATAATATATGTTCATATGAAAATCAGCAATTATTTTTTAGAGTTAACAAAACTCCAACTTGTTACAAGCAAAAAAAAATTCATATTGATAGTACAATATAGATGATAGCTATATACAGGATATTAGTAAATAAATTTGAACTCTGTTTTATAATGTTAAGTTATTATTAAGGTCAAAAATAAGTATAGTAACGGCTTCAATAATATGGAAGAAATAATGCTATAAAAACGGTATGTAATTAGATTTGATATAATTATTTGTTTAAATATGATTCAAGTAGGTTAATATATGTAATATTGTTCTTATTTTTTTATGTAATTATTATACTAAATATGTTATATATTTATTGTTTAACTCTAGAAGAATTTTTGTCTAACATTGGTTCAAACATTGAAAGATTTAAAACGTAGCTAGGGATTGTATAAATGCTAGTATTAGCAATTAAGGTATAGTTGAAGCGATAATTATATTAGTCATAATGAATAATTATCGATTCAAATTGTGCGAAATAGGTTGTAATTCAGAATTTTATAAGCAGTACACCAATTTTCTAGGAAAAAAACCTTGAGACTTACAAGTACGTTTAGATCACATTATAATATGTTGAAGTAAAATATATTAATTTAGTAAGCAATTTATTGTTACATGATAATATAGGCATTTTTACAAACGTTTAGAGCAACAGCAAAGGCACATATATAGAAATATTTAATGATAAAGTTTAACAATATGCTGAAGACACAATTCTGGTAGGCAAGTCGTTGTTAAATCTCAAAATGGTATTATATAAGTGTGAAACGCTCATATACACATTAATTAATATTTGCATTATTTTAATCATTTAGATAATTTATTTCAAAATTTGAGTTAATTTTTGGAT